TGATGAAAATCCCATATATAATTCCTAACTAAGGCAAATTACGACAATTATTGCAAACTGGATAATGAAAGCACCAGTAACACTGGCTGCAACCAGGCACTACAATATATACGGATGTTTGGAGAGCGTACAGACTCCTACATATGCTTGGTTATGTGCATCGTGTCGTTATCCACAAGTAGAATTTTGTGCACTCAACAACCAGAGTGCACATATTGAAGCACAATATTGAAGCTATGTGGTCGAGGCTGAAAGAGTTTTTGAGACTTTATCATGGCTCCAGATGCCGACTATTCCGTAGCCGTATGGATGATTTCCTCTACTGCATGCATTAATATTTTAGAACCTCTGAACCTCTTTCTAACCTTGACAAATTTTTGGACCACGTATAAGAAGTGTATCCACTTTATTTCCTTGGTTTTGTATAAGATATTTTTACTCTATACTGACTGCGTGCTGATTGGCTAATATTTCTCAAGGCCACTTAAGATTCGTCCAAAGGTCGTCTCGCCGATGAATTTTAATAGAGTTGACTGTTTTCAGTAGTATAGTTCATCTAATGTGAATTTAAATAATCTAATTTCTACAGAGAAATAAAATAATGAAAAACTCTCACGTCATATAAAACATTTATCTTAGCTGTTTAAATTAAATTTAACACTTTCATTTTTTTCTAATGTTATTGCAACACGACTGTTTAAGAAAATAAACACAAACAGAAATGAGCAAACACGTACAGTGACTAGCAGTGGAATCCAGTTTAACGCGCGTTTCGTCCTATTCGGGACTCGTCAGCTGGATGTACCTGCATCTGAGTTGACGTTCACTGTGGGACCCGAACCCAGTACCATTCGCTTCAAACGCCATCGCGTTATTCACTCAGCTACTGATTCCTGATAGCCACTTGCTTGTGTAATGGGATGGATATAAATTCACTTGGTAGTGTTTGGCTTGTATCTTCCCATTGAGGTTTAAGACTGCAATTGATCAATCTGTTATTCATCTTTGCTTATAAGAGCTTGTGAATTAAGGCAATATCGAGGCATACGCACAGTATGCACATATGCCAATAACAGACTGATCAATTGCAGTCTTAAACCTCAATGGGAAGATACAAGCCAAACAATATCAAGTGAACTATTTAAATAGTTTCATATACTTAATGTTTAGTTTTAGATAAATTCTATTGATTTAGGTACAATAAATCTATTAGGGTTTTAAAAAAATGAACTTTACAGTGTATATCTTTCTTTAAACTAAGGGTTCGAATTCAAATTAGTAGATATTTATGAACTAAGTTTTCATTGAATTAGCATTTGTCAACACAGTAATAATAAGTCTGGTTTCTTGAAAGGATTGATATTTTACGTGGAATGTTAAACTTTTATTTTTGTATGAACTTATTTCTGAACTCTTAGTATGGTGTATCAACTATTTGTGTTTGGTAAAACCTTATTTTTGAAGTTTGGTAATTCTACTGGTACAAAGAATGTCGTTTCGAAACGTATACACCCACTGCATAGACACTCAGTCTATGCATGCAGACGTCGCACCTGGGACAAGTATAAGTTGCATGCATATCAGTAATACATAGGTTTTCACTTATCCATTCCACGGTATACGAATAGGTATACTAGCTTCATTAGGAAGGTAGATGTTCACCACTCCCTTCATTTGTATTTGCTACCACTTTCAGGCACTTACGCGTTACATCCATATCACCGATACATAAGCTTGAGCCCATTAACTTTATATCATACACGTAGGCATAAGCACTCTTAAGGAAAGAAAGATGGTCACCACTCCCTTCACTTTTAACTGATAACCATTCCGTTTTTGTTTTGTTTGCAGGTTAGTTTTTTTGGTTAGGCAGCTTTATTGACATAGGGCTGACTTTCTAGCTTGGACCATTTTGGATGAGCTCTGCAAGCGCACACTTTTGCATATGCCAACATACACAACTACATAAGTTCAGATCCACGTAGTATATATATATATATATATATATATATATATATATATATTACGATCATAGAACCTTGAAGTTAGGTCTCCAAGTAACTCATATTACACCAGCAAGGTGAATTTGTACAATCCCAACCGACCGCTCAATTTGTTCATTAAGATTACCCTCATTATCCATCACGATCACGGGGAGGACTTAGGTTGGATTTTACTTCCAAACTCCTTGTTAAGCTTTTTTCACTCGATTACATTATCATTTCAGTTAACATTTTGATTGTAATTGGATTCCAGATGTAATTTTTTTTAATGTGGCAGAAAAGTTTGCGTCTGCCTAAGCTGTTAACTGATTTCCTTCAATAAACTAATATATTGTAATTTGATACCTATATTTGCTAAAGAACATGAGCGACTGAAGAAAGGAACTCATATAGTAGTTGGAATACATACTATCCAAGAAATTTTGAACAAATCATTACATATTATATAATCACATAAATCAATATGGATTATCATTCAAAACACCTTCCAATTGTTGATAAATCTCTGAAATACTTTTAGCCAATCACATCCAGCATGTAAATTCCAAAAGATTTATGTTTTCATCAAAGCTGACCTATCAAAATCATAAAATTCTACTAATTTTCACAACTGCAAAGACTAGTTTTAGGCACAAAAATAACTTTTGATCTATATATCATAACTAACCATAGAGATGACAGTCAAAATTACGATCATAAGCAATTACTTCTCACTAATATAAAGCAGTTAACAGTTTTAACAGAAGAGAATAAAGACTTGGAATTTGAATACTCTGTTTCATCAGACATTTCAATTTACAATGTTATTTTTTTCAGTTTATCTCTACTCAAAAATAATAGATCCTGTCAAACATAGTCACTTAATAGTCACACGTAAACGTTAATTTCAATCTCACTGTTGTACAAACCAATAACTTTATTCAATAATCAAGAAATAATTCAAACTCATATCATAAAATTTAAGTGTTCTCACCATTTATTTATTATATATTTACTGACTTCTTGATAAACAGAAGGGAAATAATTTTCTCAGTAGGGAAAAATGTTGTTGTATATATTACATATAAAGAAAGATACGGTGAATATATTCATTTTTATCAATGTAGTTCAATTACGGTCATATATTACTTTTGAATAGAAAAAGTTTCTTATCTAAGGAAAATTGTGGACTGAAATTTTCTTTCTGGAAAAGACTATAGTAATGGTAAATGTGTATACTAACTCAAGAAAAGACATTTTTATGTGCATACCATCTTGCTGTATTCATAAGCGGTGGTATGTATATACATTTTTAACCGTAGCAATAAATTTCTGCATATATATATAAACATTTTTGTGATAGTGAAATTCGAGTGAAACGCGCTTCCCGGATTCCACTGCTAGCCGCTATTCATCTTTGGTTAGAATGTTTGTGAATTAAGGCAATATTGAGGCAATACGAACAGTATGCACATGTACCAATAAGAGACTGATCAATTGTAGTCCTAATCATCAACCGGAATATTCAAGTAAACAATATCAAGTGAATTTAACTTCAGTCATTGCAAAATCAAGTGGCTATCAGGACCCAGTAGCTAGGTGGATAGCGCGATTAAGTTTAGAGCGAACGGTATTGGGTTTAGATCCCAGAATGAACATCAACTCTGTGATGCAGTTACACACAGCTTATGAGTTCCATATAGGACGAAACGCGCGTCAAATTGGACTCCACTGCTAGCCATTATCCATCTTTGCTTAAAAATTCAACTTTGTTTAAATAAGTAAGCAAGTCTAGTACATTGTTAGCTTGATATTAAAATGCCTAACAATTCTGTTAAGCCTCAATAATAATTAGTCGAGAATATCTGTAAGAGTTTAGAATTCTCATAGTCGTTGGTACAAAGAACTGTAACCGATCAGTCTTCTATAGAATCTTGAACAGATGATGTCTATGTTATTTGTATTTTAGGTAGAAGCTTTTAGTACAATTGGATCTTAACTACTAGTAAAACCCAAGAAGCAAATATTTGGAATTCATTCTAATATATTGAATAGTCAATAATTTTTAATAGAAATTCCTACTATTTGAATATCGGGTAATATAGTTTAGTGCTAAATACTAGATTAGAATCTCAATGTGAGCATTCAGGTAGGTTTAACTTGTAGTGACCTACTTTTATCAAGAAAACGCAATTGGTGTAATGGAAACAATTATTATTATAACCAATTGTACCAGGGATGGTTTTACCGTACTTGTTTGTTTAACTGTACCAAAACACATACATTCTTCCGTTGATTGTGACCTTGCACGAATCCGGTTACGCTCAGTAACCACACTTGTAACCTGGCACGATCTCGGTATGCTTTCGATGCCATGAGATCGCCAACAGATACATTTCGACTACAGTCATCAACTGTCTACTGATATTTGGCTTATGGGGGATCTTATCGGTTAACTGACACATAGTCTTCCTATAGTGGTGATCATAGTCGACCGCGACTCGACGCTGCACTACAAACTAATGGATTCCAAAGAGAATGAAATATTTAACCACTTCTAGTTCACAATTCAACTATACTAACAACTTATAATCAAAAATATGTTAGTACATTGTATGATCTTCTGTAAAATCTTAGCGATATTTCGAAAATCTTTCGTTCTTTATTGAGGCTAGATATATTGGTAATCTTTTTAAATTATGGAATTCACGATAAAAAGCTGAACTAATCAGACTTTTATTATTTTCAAATATCTATTCGTTTCTTATGTGATGCTCAGTTTTTAGAAGTGAAATTGTTAGGTTTTTACGACTATATCTATCTAAGGGTATTTTAATAATGTACTTCTTGGGTATTATTATTAATGGCTTTATTCAATATTATATTTTGGTACAATCTAGAATTCTCAGGGAGGTAAAAAGAGATAAACCGTACACACATGTGTCAAATGTGAGGAAGGCGCCCATCTAAGAAAATGAAAGATGGTCATACAATGTCCTGGATTAATTGGAGTTAGATATGACTTTTAAGTGTCCACCATCTCTTCAACTTGAAACAGATGCAAAACGGCCAAAGGTCAGCGCTGATCACATATCCGCATTTTCTGACACTTCATCCGATGTTAGTGATCTCGAAGATTTTTCACGTCCTTTAAATGCACCGGATTCGTGGGATTCGGAAACAAGCAATGGGCCTAATACTGTTGGAGCAAATGAAGTGACTGAGACTACTGTCCGTCGACTTACTGTGTTTCTTGAAAAACGTGCTCTAAGCAACCAGGAAGCTCAAAATAAGTTCCTTGACCAATCTAAGCGTTTTATGCAGTCAGAATTGGAACTACAAGAAACACCGGAGGAGATGCAGGTGCTTGCAGCCAATCCAGAATTATACCCAATCTTAGCAGAACAAACACGTCCCATATCATTATTGTTAGGTTTATTGGCTCATGAAAATACAGATATTAGTTTATCTGTTATTGATCTGTTGCATGAATTACTTGAATCTAGTTGTTTACAAGAAGCTGGATTAGACAAAGTTAATCAATTTTTAGAAGTTTTGTTTACTGAACAATTGATACAATCACTTATATGGAATATTTCACGTTTAGATGAGACGAAGAAAGATGAAGCTGACGGTGTGCATAAAACACTCGGAATTGTTGAAAGTTTACTACAAATTCGTCCGGATATAACTGTGATAATGGCAAATCAAAGTTTATTTGCATGGCTTCTACGACGTTTACAAAAACGTCCAGTATTTGACAAAAATAAATTATACGTTAGTGAGCTATTATCAATCTCATTACAAATGGATGAAGCTAATCGTCTTCAATTAGGTGAAGTAGACGGTATTGATATATTGTTGCAACAATTATCTGTTTATAAACGACATGATCCTGGAAGTCAAGAAGAAATTGAATTAGAGCTTAATTTATTCGATTGTCCCCACCCGTGTTCTGCTCACTACATTCTGGAGATTTTAATATCAAGCATCACTTAAATGCTGTCATACTGATGTTGTCTCATATTTAATTGTTTTAAATAAGTTTTTTTAAATTTCATGTTATTTGCTGTTGTCCTATGAGTTAGTTGTAACATTTTTTTTATTGATTTAAGGATAGTAATAATAAGTGTTCCATTGATTTCTTAGTATCTCATTGCCAGTATAACTATCCTCCAATGAAACCAAATAGAAGCTTAGAACGTTGTTATTCATTGGCACTTTTCCATAGTGCAACTGTAAGTCATGGGGATGATGTTGAACACAGTCGTTTGTTTTTTATAAATAGCTATGCACTTTCTGCAGGTTGATTCAAAAGATCGGATGGATAAATGGGAACTATTATGATATAGAAAGCTAACGTTATAGAGATCGACTGTTACGAATTCGACTACAGGACTAATATTGTAAATATTGGATCTGTTAGAACTGATTTTCGTATTATTACTATTTATTTTTTTTGCTGCATAATCACTGACTAGATTACTATATCTATATGTTCAGCTTATCACAAGCTTTCATTTAACCTATTATTGGCTGTTATACGACTTACTATTCTTGATTTGTCCCCAGTCTATTGCTCACAGCTTCCCCTATCCACAGCCACTTTAGGGTTATTTGTGTATGATTGCAATTTTTCATTCTATGGTGTGGTGCTATCCGGTATGTTTGTATATAAACCCACGTATGCCTAATATGTTGTAACAACAGAGCTCCGTCTGCCAACTTCTCTCTTGGACTTAAGGGATAAGATAGAGAGAAGCTAATGGATAGTGAACCAATTTGAGCTCAAACTTGGACTGGTAGTAGTTAGTTACATATTTCAAAACTGTCAGCTCAGTTTTATGTATAATTCTCACTCTGTAAAAGATCTACAGCTTACTTAGTGAGCTAATTCAATAAGTATTACTGTTGTTAACTATAATGGAAACCTCAATGTTTCAATACGGATGAACTACAGAATAAATGGTTTTCGGATGTTTATTCTTTTAAGTTGACTATGACTTTTGTACAGAACCACCAACATCCAGCTGGTTTAAAATACAAATGCGGGGAGTTCCACCTGGGTTACAAAAGTTTATGACCAATAAAATACTGTATAAACTATTCCCTCAATTTTCCATTTACAATCTCATCAAATACCGCATACCAAAAATGTAGAAGGACATGTTGATATTAATTTCTTAAGCAAACGATATTCGTTGACTACCATTATCAGTAGTGAAAAGTACTTCATATAGTAATCCATACATTTTCCGGGAACTAACAGTTTGAAATGATAAATATTCCCATTTAAAAACATTAAACTAACCTTACAATAAAAAACAAGATAGTAATCCACGTCCAGTTCATTGTCACTGAACTTACCCATAACTCTTCTTAAATCTGTGGTGGTCGGTATTCGATATAATCATTAAACTTCGTATACAGTTCGTCTTGATACCCGTTCTATATAACGTCCCAACGGTTTATTAACCAGAAGGCAAATACGAAGTGTTGATTACGTTTATTACGAGACCACACACATATATCCAAATGTACAGATGCGTTAAACAAGCATAGAAGAGTTGTGCCGAAATGCAAGCAAGCGAGCGAGAGCAAGAGCGAGACGAGAGTGTGTGAGTGTGTGAATATGAATAACATGGACATATATATAGCATGTGAAATGAATGAGTAATCGAATCAAATAATCAGTTAGTAGTAAGACTAGCAGAGTGAAGAAATGCGTAGGCCGTAAGCAATATTCAAGCATACGTATTTCATACAAGCACAAAATAATAAGGGTACAATAAGTTGTTATAGTGCGGATGACTTTGTCCGCTAAATGAGTTAGCAAAAGGGCTTAACTGCGTTAGATGAGACTAAACTCATTTGCACGTGAGTCGCTATAAATCTAATCAATCAGCCTAATGACTACTCAATTACATGGATTAGTGGTGGATTATTGCAGCAATCACTTCATTATGAATGACCTATCTATACAAGTAATAACTTTTTTGAAGTGTACAAGATATCAGACCAGTTGCTTACTTACTTGCGCCTGTTACCCCTCATGGGGAAGCATAGGCCGCTCACTAGCATTCTCCATCTAACTCTATCCTGAGCGATCCCTTCCAGTTCTTTACAGTTGCTATTCATCTTTTTCATATGTGCTTCTATTTCCCGAAGTGGTGCTTTCTTTGGACTTCCTCTTTCCCACTTCCCCTCAGGATTCCAAGTCAGGGTTTGACTCGTGATGCAGTTTGGTGATTACCGTAATGTTTCAATGTCTTTTTCTAATTTCCTCTTCAACTCGAAGCTTATTTGTTTTCTCCTACAGAAGGCTGTTGTGGATGGTATCCGCCCAACGAAAAATGAGTATCTTGTGTAGATAATTGTTTACAAATGTGCATTTCTGATTATGGTTGTAGTAGTTCTCCAAGTTTCAGCTTCGTACAATAGGACCGTATTAAAGATTCTGACTTTGATATTAGTTGACAGTTGTTTTTAGTTCCATATGTTCTTCGATTGAAGTAATGCTATCCTTGCTTTGCCATTCCTCGCCTTTACGTCAGCATCAGATCCTCCTCGTTCATCAATGATACTGACCAGGTACGAGAAAGTTTCCACCTCTCCCAGAGTTGCTTCATCAACCGTGATTGATTCGGTACTCACTGTAGTATATTTTAGAACATTAATTTCTCTCCTGTGTATTTTGAGGCCTACTGTTGCAGACAGAAGCTGTTTCTACACTGATTGTCCTGACCTGCATTTGTTCGTGTGTATGGGATAGAAGAGTTACGTCATCGGAAAAGTCTGAATCGTCGAGCTGCATCCAAGCTGTCCATTTTGTTCCGTGCTTCCCTTCAGGTGTCGAGGTCTTCCTAATCCAGCCAACCACCAAAAGAAAGAGGAAGGGAGAGCGTAAGTAATCATGTCTGACTTCGGTCCTCACTTGGAATGAGTCTGTCAGCTGTCTTCCATGCACCAGTTGCACTGCAGTCCATCGTATGACTTCCATTTGGTGATGTTAACTTTTTTCTCAGTTACTCAGTTCATAGTGTTGAAGAAGGTTCCACGTGGTTCGCCTATCCACACTGTCAAACGCTTTCTCACATTTAAGCGATTTGATGTATAGTGATGAGTTCCATTCACTAGATTGCTCAACGATGATCCATAGTGTCGCGATTTCGTCTGTGCAAGATCAGTCATTACGGGATCCGATCTATTGATCTCGAAGTTGATTGTCCACTGAATTTTTCATCCGGTTCAACAACACTGTTGAAACCTTTTCGTGGTGCCAATAGTAGTGTGATTCGCACGTTTCCTCATTTCTCCTTTACTTGGGATCTTGTTGAGGTGTCTTTCATTCCAAACTGTCGGTACTTGTTCCGTAGTGGCATTGGACCCTAACCGCACGAGCTTTGAAGCCATGCATAAAATTACTGGAAAGACTTGTATTCAACAATTGACATGAAGAGAAGGCTAACGATGGAGGGAGCGGGAATATTCATCTAATTCAATCGGATGGTATGGCTCAACCTCACAGACGTGGTTATTGTGTATAACTTGTCTTTATTCAGATTAAACATATCCTATCTTTAGCTTAAATGTGTTCTTCAGAAGTACTGAATATCATATTGTTAATTTTTACGATACGCTGAGTCAATGTAGATAATGATGTGACTTCCACGTATGATCTTATAGACTGGGCAGTCACAACATGACATATCTACAATTATAAGATTGGGTTTATTATTACAATAATACTAATAATGACTTAGACTACAATTCTACATTGGTAAGCCCGACTAAGGAAACGCAGTCCTTTTATTAGTCTGTGGTGGTCGGTATTCGATATATCCCTTAAGCTTCGTATACAATTCGTCTTGATAACCGTCCTATTTAACCCCCAACGGTATATTATTCAGAAGGTGAATACGAAGCGTTGATTACGTTTATTTCGAGACCACACACACAGATGTCCAAAATTACAGATGCATTAAACGAGCATTAAGAGTTGTGCCGAACGGCAAACAGGCAAGCGAGCGACTGAGCGAATGTAAGTAATCGAGTACAATCAAGCGAGCGAGAAAGCAGAGTCAACCATATGAATAACGTGGACATATATATAGCATGTGAAATTAATGAGTAATCGAATCAAATAAGCGGTTAGTAGTGAGACTAGCAGAGTGACATAAATGCGTAGGCCGTAAGCAATATTCAAGCATACGTATTTCATACAAGCACAAAATAATAATAAGGGTACAATAAGTTGTTATAGTGCGGATAGCTTTGTCCGCTAAATAAATTAGCAAAAAGGGCTTAACTGGGTTAAATGAGAATAAACCCATTTGCACGTGAGTCGCTATAAGTCCTCATTTTCACTTTAAGTTGATCAACTGCATTTTACTTATGTTAACCCATTATTCTATTAGTTCTCTGATTAACGCTCACGTGTATTATCGTAATGCTATATTGATTAGTACCCATAACTTGTTAGTTCAATCGATACTAATAACAGGTCGTCTATACTAATTATTAGCTACGATGGTTCATTAACAAGCATTGATAGCATTTACATGCTTCAGGGAAATAAACTTATTAAAATATCAAGCACTTACAAGCATGGTCTTTAATTGACTCATATTTACATTGGCTAGCAATGCAAGCAAAGACTGATTAGTTAACTTGACCTAGCTCTTTATCTTGTTTTTTCTAACGTTTTACTCTTTTTCAAACCATGGACTATCCTTTTCTTCTGATCACTTCCTGGTTAATTCACAATTTTCGAGTTCCATAGCCAAACAACAAAGATAACATCCCAAGAAACTTACGGTGAGTTAAGGCTATAAAATTTCTGCAACGTTAACCTAATTTTAGATGGTTCATACAGCGATAGCTACATATGTGTCTGGACTCTTGGGTTTGTACCATTTCTCGCAACTGTTTTTTATACGCCATATCCATCGGATAATCTAAATACTGAAAATAATCCAGGCGAGTTTGACTATTTTACT